TTCTGGAAAATTCTCACCAAAATGCTTTTGTACGCTTGTAAACAATATAATGAACTATCGCTGGAATAATTTTAACAGCTATCGGACGTTGGCTTAGAAATGACAACAGTCTGAAGTTGGTTGCAGTTTTGTTATCTCTCCCTGTATTTTCAAGTTTTGATTTCATCCACATTTTCTAACGTAATTGTTCACATTTAGTGATCGTAATGGGTTATATCTTCTGTGGCAGACCATAGTTTATATAAGGTCCCGTTCTTCTATTTAGAGCTCTCCCAAATTTGGTATGCTGATTATATTTGTCTCATTTTATGGGAAATCGTTGAAAATTCGGTATGTGGTTCCGTCTTCTGTGGCAGAGAGTTTCTCGAATATGGTCATTATTTATTTTATCACTCATTAGGCGGTACCAAAATACTGGGATATTTTGATGATTTCAGGCACATTTTTCAACAGATCATTTTAATTTGGTGTTCGACACTTTGAAAACCACTTTAATAGGAAACCGGTACAATCGAATTTTCGACACTTATATGACTTTTTCAAAAATTGAAGTGGTCCCAATATTTAATCCCGATCCTATTTTTTGCAAAGGGTTTTCATTACCTCACGGTGGAAGGTATTAAAAGTTCGGCACGGCGTTCACGTTTATGGGTCGGAAAATCAATCAAAATCTATTGCTTAAAATCCATCATCAAAGAAATATGCTTGATATGAACGACCAAAAACGTTGCCTTTAAAAATATGCGAACATAAGTAGGACAGCCCATTAAAGAAAATAATGCATGGATCGGATCAGTCCATCAGAAATATAATATAAAAATCTTCTATGATGTGCAAGGCAGTCTATAAATAAAAAATGCTTGAAATTCACAAATATGCGTCGGAAAATTGAACGAAAATATGTGCTTAAATTTCCATGAATATGAATCAGACAGTCCTTCAGTACATCTAAAGTTCGGTCGGGCAGTACATCTAAAGTTATTAAAAATGATGGTTCATACTTTTAAAAATTCTTTTAAAAAACCACTGTTATGTAGTTAATTTTTGTCCATTAAGTCTACAAATGAGTAAACAATTATTTTAGCATCCTCTTTTTTTCGTCCGATGGTGTTGAACTCGGAATTTATCTGATAATTACACTATATATTTTTATACCCTACACCACAAGGTGGTCAGGGTATTATGTTATTGTGCATTTGCTTGTAACAGGCAAAAGGAAACGAGAGAGACCCATAGTTTCTTTTGATGATCTGCATAGAATCACATTCTGAGCCGATTTATGTCCGGCCGGCCGGCCCCGCCCCACTTTAAGACTTTCTTTACTGCTAACAATTTTATTTATTATTTCCTTATCTTTGACCCGTCATTGAGCATTGGCTGTTAAAAATTTCTATGAGTCAGGAATTATTAGAAGCATAGATGTGCAAATTCATATATGTCACCGTCTTCAATGAATATTTAAATATTTACAAAATGCAACAAAGTTCATTTCAATACTTTTGTACGTCATGGGAATTGTATAAATTCTAATGAAGTATTTTTCAATACTTTTATATTCATGATGTCACGATGATATCACTTTTTGGGGGAGATTCAATGGACCTTGTTTTGTTGTGTCTCGAACCGATCAACTACTCAGCCAGTCAGTCATCCAACCAACAACCAACCATACACGTTTGAATAAGCAACTTAGTAGCAACATCGTGTGAATAGCTTGGTTTCAACTTCAAAATTTGTCTGTTTTCAAATGTCATTCATTGTGTGTTGGCAACACTCGGGATAAGTAATTTGTCTGACATTAACAAGACGAAGAAATACAATACAAACAAATGCAATTAACAGTGATGGGCAATAAAACAAATGTACTGTTGAAGACAATAATTGTGAAGTAAATAAAATCAATCATGATCTTTATTAAATGCATATTATTGCTTTGGAACGATAAGACTTGGTGCGGGTAATACTTAGGCGTACGTAGGCGTGTAATAAGGCTAGGTTTTTGGAAATTCCTACTAAAACGGCACGAAAAGTACTAAAAATGAAATACTTTGTGTTGGACAAAGAGAATGAAGTAGAATTTTTAAATTTGGAATGAGAGTGCAGGATAGATGTACCATGATCGTTATTAAATACATATCATTGCTTTAGAACGGTGAGACTTGGTGCGGGTAAAACTTAGGCGTACCTAGGCGTGTGATAAGTCTGGGCTTTGGAAAATTCGTACTAAAAGGGTAAGAAAAGTACTAAAAATTAAATACTTTGTGTTGGACAAGCGAAAATAGGTAGAATTCTGAAATTTGGAATGAAAGAGTTTTTGGAATTTCGTAACTTAAGGTTACGGAAATTACTTAAATGGTACTACGCTTCTAAAATGGTACCATTTGTATTATGTGAACGGATACAGCTAAAAACTTGAAATGTGGTATGAGTATCAAGGTTGGAAAGTAAATTTAATCTATGAAGGGTACTATGTGTGAGAATTGTATTAAATGAGACCACATTTTGAAGAGTTTGGTTCGGGATGCACGGACGAAGCTTGAATTTTAAATGTGTTTACCTTTTACTAATAGGTTTGGGATAAAGATGTGGTTTTGGAAATGCACGAATAGTACTCAATAGTACTATATTAGGTATAATTTGGTATTAGATGAAAATGTAGTGTTTGAAATATGAAATTTGGTATTAGGATCACTGTATCGCATGTGTAGCCTGGACATATGTTAATGGTTTCGGAAATTTATTCTACAATTCTGCGAAAAGTACTGATGATAATGGTGACAGATGATGATTGAGATTTGGTGGTGGCTTTGAATTGCGTCCCATATTTTTAAGTATTAAATGGTACTAAACTGGTATGGGGTGAAAAGCTAAAGCTGGAATTCTCAAATTTGATGTTGACGTCACCGTTGGTGTTTGTGTTTAAGATATGGAGGTGGTTTAGGAAATGTGTACTATAATTTTACAAAAGGTACTAAATTGTGCTAATTGTGTTCTTGGTTAAGTGGATAAAGATAAAATTCTGAAATTTAATGTTTAGACTACCGATGGAATCTGTTTTTGAGATTTGACGGTAGTTTGGAATTGCATGCAAGGTCAAGGACTGCTGTCATCTCTAAGCCACTCGTCCGACAGCTCTTAAAATTTTTCCAATGACAGCTCATTATATTGTTTACAAACGTACAAAAGCATTTTGGTGAGGATTTCCCAGAAAAAAATTATTCGTGATTGAATTCAAGTGTGATTTTGATAGTGTGATTTCTTTATATTTGGCTGGAAAACCACAAGTGGCTATCGTTAGAGCACTCCAGCATTTAAATGTTAATAAATCTTTTGTGTCTCATACCATCGCTCGTTACCGTGATACTGCTAACGTAGCCCGACGTCAAGGAAATGAACGGAAGAAAACAGCAACATCAGCAGAAACGGTTCGAATCGTAAAGAAGAGACTTGATGGAAACCCGCGTCTCAATGGCCGAATATGACTCGTAAGCTGAACAATATTCCAATCGGCAAATATTGAGAAATGAGCTCAAGGTAAAGCCATTAAAATTTAAAAAAGTTCAAGAACTTACACCGCAACAGAGTGAAAATAGACTGAAAAGAGCTAAAGAGTTGCTTCGCTTGGCCGAAAGTGGTGAACTGCCGAATTTGGTTTTCTCCGATGAGAAAACATTCATTGTCCAGCAGTTTGTAAACATAAAAAATGATGGTGTTTACTGCCAAAGAGGTCAGCTGAAAATGTGCAACTTCGGTTACCCACCAGAACTCAAGCGCCGAGCTTGGTGATGTGGGCCGTTATAACAGCCGATAATTGCTCTCCGCTCATATTAATTGACAGTGGCATCGAAATAAATACCGAATGTTATCGCGAAAATATTCTGGGGGGTGTATTAAAGCTTTGGGCATGCAAACATTTTGGCCGCAGACCTTGGGCATTCCAAGAGGACTCAGCACCATCGCATTCAGCACGCGCCACCGAAGAAAAGTTCCTCGCTTCATGGCCACAAAAATCTACGGATACCATTCCGTTGGACTATTGTGTCTGAAATATTTTGGAAAGCAAGGTTAGCACTAAAAAATACCAAAGTGTCGATCACCTCAAGCAAGCGCTTCCCCGGGAATGGGCCAAAATACCGCAGAGAAACATTCGGGCAGCGTGTGACGGATTCATTGGCCGTTTGAAGACCACAATTCTTGCCAAAGTTGACCAATTTGAACAAATCAAAACTTCTTCTAAAATTTGACGCTATTTCCGACATTGTTTGCTTTCATACAATAAAATTAAAAAAATGTGAAAACTATGGTGTTTGACTTTGTTGCAGTTTTTTTACCTCACCTGTATAGCTTTCTATGTCGGAGACCAATATTTCGAGGTGCTACATAATTTTTGGCCCAATCAAACTTATAATACCTCCAACACAAAGTGTTGTAGGGTATAAAAAGTTTCCTATTTCCATTTTATCCCCTAATAATATTGTGATTATTTCCAAAGTTATAGGCTTTTAGTTTGACCCTAACCCAGACCACTTGCAATATTTTATGAAGATCGGGTCATAATTGCAATATGTAGTGTGCTGGATCGACTCATCTGGTCGAATCAAACATATAATACAGTCACCAAATATTGTTATTTCGATTAATAACGCGTTGAGCAGCCATCTTATAGTTATATCTTTCAATCCAATATGTACAATTGTACAATCGCATTTGGTGTTCCATCTCTATGGAAACAGATAAAAAGAGAGATGAGAAATGTGGAGAGAAATATTGTCTCTATCCGAAGATCCATCACAAGTAGAGATCCAAGCCCCCCACAAAACAACAACACTCATGGAGTCATCTGTATACGAGTATGTATGGATCTGTCTGTAGTGCTCTCGTGTTTGATTTGTTTTGAATGAGTATTCAGCAGACGGAGACACAACTGCGAGAGTATTGAGATACATTTGTGTCGTGGTGAACATTTATTTATTTTTATGCTATAACATTGGCAATTTGCAAAACAAATTTTCAGTACGATTCTAAAAGTTACGAAGTTCGTAACAGTGGTTCAAAAGAAGGCGGGCGCGTTCCGTTACAACATTAGCACGTTGTCGCCGTAAAGCAACAACAAAAAAATCGGATAAATTAAGTGTGGGTAAACAAAACCAGCAAAAGATACCGAAAATAAAAACGCGAGCGTTGTTCAAAATATATTTAACAGAATATAAAAATAACAAAGAGAAAGATCAAAAATAAATAAAAGAAATTTAAGCAAAAAATTAAAAGTTTTCTTTAATATTATACATTTTAAGCTGTTTAGTTTTTAAATAGAATTCAATAACTTGTGTGTTCGAATTAAAAAAAAAAACTTAATTAAACAATTCTTGGTTATTTTTCAGAGAATTCACGGCATTGCAGAAACCAAACGTGTTTTCTTTATTAAAATAATTTCTGTTTATTTATTCTTCTTGTCGTCAGCTTTAACAATTGTTTCCAGATACATAATCAGCGATTTGTTTATACCCAAAACTGTTAATTGTATTTTGAAGGTAAGCCACAATAAGAACTGGAAAATTCATTGTTATTAAACAAAAAGTTTGTTATCGATAAAACTGAAATATATATAAGTTTTGTTTGTGTAAATAAATAATGAATTTAGTTTGCAGTGTTTTGTTATTATAAAAAAAGATGAATAGGTTTTTTTTATATTTTAACATCACAATGGATTTGAAATTCTGTTAGTAGTTGATCCAAAATAATCTTTTTGAACCCAAAGAATTTGATGTCTTGCTATTGACCTTATAATGAATGGTTATAATGAATAATAAAATAGCCGGTCGAAATAATGCCCGTATATATTTTATCTCCAAATGTGGTGTGGAATGGAAAAATATTCGAAATGCTTCCAGTAAAAAAGTAGCAAAAATTGGAACTTTTTAAGTTAAGAATTAGTTTTTTAGTTAGTTAAGAAATTGGTAAGAAGTAAATTAGTTAGTTAAGAAATGTGGCCAGTAATTGGTTTAAGCATAGAATGTCTAGGTATATTTTAAAAAATTTGGGGGCCTATTTTCTACCAACTTTAATTTATTTTAATTTAAAGAGATCAAATTACATGCTCTCCGGCTGGAAAATGTGTCTATGACCGCGAATACATAGTATTATGTGTATGTGTATAGAGGTAATGAGAAAGACCTGTAGTTCGTTTTGGGTATCGGCATAAAATCAATCTGAGTCTATGTAAATTAAATGAGTCTATTCAAATTACAGGTCAACTTTCTTATACGATTGATACAAACCTTAGCAAAGTTCATTGGACTCGAGGATGCACCCCAGTGAAATACTGAATATAAAAGGTGAAAAAATAGTAGAGCGAATTGGACATTTGGTTAAAAAGGATTTATATCCTTCCATAAATTCTTCCTAAACTTTCAAGATACCTTTTGATACCCTTTTGCAGGTCATGATATGAATCATAACCCCCATATAAGGGTACAACCTGATTTCAAGTATATTTTACATTTTAACAATGTTTTTCATACAAATTTCGGCAAATATTGGTAATTTGAGAGAAATCATCCTTGCCTAAAATATGATATGACTTCGGAGCTTGGCCACTTTTTTCATCTTTTGGCCCATGAATGGCATCTTTGTTTCTAAACCTAATTCGCATAGAAGGAGAAGGACCAATCTTGGCCTTGACCACATTCATCAATTGATTGCGCTAAAAAATTGTTATTAGGCTACCCTGGGCAGGAACCATCTTACAAGTAATTGTCCACTTAGGTATTTATTAAAAGTATAGTCCCCACATTGATGTATCCCCAAGTCCACTTTCCCAAATAATGTGTGGTCGAAAAAGAAAATTTTGTATTCTATTGAATTTTTAGCCCCATGAGAACATTGGTTGGAAACGTAGATTTGGAATGAACGTCTACATGAAATAAACTCCGAAAAGTCAGATTGGAATTCATTCAGTCGGGATTATGAAAAACTACGAATAATAGAAAGAAGCACGGGGCCGAACATTTTTTTAATCGTCATTGCATCATACTTTGATAAAATATATGGGCTTTAAATGGCAAAAAATTGACTATTCTGAAATCATTCTGCCCTTATTATGAGGTGGATAAAACTAAATACCAAGCAGCATTAACGTTGGAAATACAAATTCCAAATTTGAAAATGTTTGTAAGCTCTTTACTATAACAAAAATCGAGCTGAGTTTTCACATGAGGGTATTATACTGGGTGAGATGAAATAACTAAAATTTGAAGATATTTCTGACAATTTTTTCTTTCATTCAATAAAATTAAAAAAAAAAAAAAATTTAGAAATTATGGCGTTTGACTTTGTTGCTGTTTTTTATCTCACCCTGTAGCTATAGGTCCACATATGCGTTTCATCCGATTTTGTATTTAAGTGTGATATGATGTGATATGATGATATTTGGCAATCAGAGACTTCTGCTAATGTTTATAGAGATTTGTTCAGATTTGCAATATGGCCCCCGATTTCACATTTATAGTGCAGCAAAAGTGTAATATCTGCTCAAATGAGATCGATTTTGGGAGAAATCGGTTCAGACATACCTATACGATTCAGAGTGGGATATACCATATATTTTATGAATCCAATGAAATCCGATAAATGTACTTCTTTGTACGGTCAATGAGCTGATGGAATCGTAAGTCGTTATTTCATTGAAAATGAGGAATGAGTTACCTTGAATATAAATCGATACAGAACAATGATCAATACATTTTTATTGCCAATTCTTCTATGTGCAGATGTAAACGAAATGTGGTTTCAACAGGATGGTGCCACTTGTCATACTGCAGACGAAACAATGGACGTATTGAAAGAATATTTCAACGACTACATTATTTCGAGAAAGTGATCACTTGAATATTTTTCGTGGGAATACCTGAAGTCATTGGTTTACGATTGACGCTTTGGAAACGTGTGCTAAAATACGCCCTCAAATGCTTGAAAATCTGATCGAATATTGGACCTCCATAACGACCTTTGTTGTTGTAGTGGAAATTATATTTAAATGTTAAATGACGAGAGATTATCTAGCAAATTTTTTTGTCATTTTATAATTTGTCATGGGTGCACATTTTGGTCGATTCAACCTGTACCTCTTAGAACGTAAGGTTGATGTTATTTAAATACATATATTGTTCAAAAATTCGCTAATATTGATTAATTGAATCATTCAAGGGATTTATTTCTATTTATATACATAGATGGATTACGTATATAAATATATAAAATAAAGCTGTTGAATGTGTATATGTAAACAACAATAAAAACACAAAAAAATGTATTTGAAGAAAAACTTGCCCACTGGATTAAGAGATTTTATGCTACAGTAAATTTTAACGAATATGTAAATTCATTTGGATATACAATATACATATGGATGTATACATATGAAAGATTGTATTACATTTCCATATGCCATGTATGTAAATATATGAGCCATGGTTCCGCTGATGGACACACTTTAAAGTAAACAACTATGACCACTTTTAAAGGGTTTGAGTAAATATATTTTATCATTTATTTCAAAGCGGCTACGCTTATGGAGATTCCCAAAATATTTCAACCAACGTCCTAATTAAAATAAGAATTTCACCTTTTCAACAAAATAAAAAAAAAAATATCATGAGTCTTCTTTAAGCCTCATGATCTAATGATATTTTGGAAACACGTTTACCAGATTAAATTTGAATTTTTAAATTTATTGAAAACTGGTTTAGTTCGTGTCAAAAATGTTTTTTTATGTGCACAGGTTGGAAACAAATATATAAAAAGCTGTTTTTTTGCAAATTTTTGGATATTTTAGAAGAAAGAAACTGGAGCAAATAAAAACAGAGGTCCAGACAACGCAACACGATACGATACACTACAAAGCGATATGAACTAGGCCTAGATTATATGATGTACATATGGTATTAGTGGTAAAATAACACTATGCCACAAAATCTATTGTCTTCCATAATTGAAAAAATAAGTAGATTATGAATGTAGAGCTAAAAAAGACACATTTATCGGCAATCTAAAAGTTTACAGAGCCAAGTAACCCAAAATGGGATGGCAAGTTGCCCCTGCTTATTTGGAAACTTAGGGTAAAGATTTCTTGGAATCCATTTAACTTTAAGCATTATTTTGACCGAACATTTTAAACCCCAAGCGAGTCACCAAAAAGTAAATTAGGTCCTTTTTATGCCCTCTAGTATGGAGGGTATATAAAGTTCGTCATTCCGTTTGTAACTCAAATGAATAAATAATTTCAGACACAACAAGGTGTATATCTTCTTGATCAGCATAAAATTCTAAGACGATTTAACCCTGTCCGTCTTTTGTAATCAAGCTCTAGTCAAAACGAACAATGATAGAAAGCTAAAATTTTGCACCAATCTGTATTTTGTCTGCAGGCAACTCAAGTTCAAAGATGGGCTATGTCGGTCCACAATATCCTTTAGCCCCCATATAAAGGTACACCACCTTACTCGGTATTTTGATGATTTAAGCCATCTTTTTCAAGGGAATTTTCTGAAATTCTACACGAGGGGTTCTTTATGAGTACTTACCCCCTGAAGGAGAATTGTCTATATAGATCCACGATATTCTCCATACAATCTTACTATCAAAATTCGGAATTTTTCAATGGAATTATCTGAAAATACACACAAGGAGTTCCTGGAAGAGAATTGTCTATATAGGTCCAGGATATCGAATAGCCCCCATGCAACGGTACCTCTCGATGTTCGGTATTTTCATGATTTTAGCCACATTTTTTGACCAGAATTGTCTGAAAATCCACACGAGGAGTGCCTTCTGAGTACTTTACCGCCTGGAGGAGAATTGTATATATAGGTCCATGATATCGTGCAGCCCACCGCCATTTATTCGGTATTTGGTGATATAAGCGACATTTTTTATTGGAATGGTTTCAAATTTATTATTTAAAGTTCGTAATAAGTACTACAACCTACGACAGAAAATTGTCTATGGTGGTCCAGGTCTTTGTATAGCCCACCTATAACAGCACCTCCATTTGTTCGGTAACTTGGTGATATTAGTGACATTATTCACCGGAATTGTTTTAATTCTTAGTGAAATTGTTTCAAATTTCGTATTTAAAGTTCATAATAGGTACTACTACCTACGATGGAAAATTGTTTATGGTGGTCGAGGTCTTTGTATAGCCCACCTATAACAGCACCTCCATTTATTCGGTAACTTGGTGATACTAGTGACATTATTCACCGGAATTGTTTTATTTCTTAGTGGAATTGTTTCAAATTTCGTATTTAAAGTTCGTAATTGGTACTACAACCTATGACGGAAAAATGTCTATGTTGGTCCACGTCTTTATACAGCCCACATATAACAGCATCTCCATTTATTCAGTATTTTGGTGATATTAGTGACACTATTCACCGGAATTGTTTCAAATTTCGCTTTAATAGTTCCTAACGGGTACTGCAGCCAAGAAAAAAAAATACTTATGCAGAGCCACGTCTTCGTATAACGGGTT